TAGCTCGGCGGGGATACGCTCACCTAAGGGATGGTGACAGCTCCCGCAGGTGGAGGTAAGTTGTACCTCGTGTGGCCCTATCCTGTCGTAGGGGTTCGCGAGAGGTATGGCTGGCGCACTCGGCCGGAGCGGTAACGCTCCACGACTAAAGTCCTGCCGAATCCTGCGTGACGCGGCCGAGAAGGTCCCCCCTCGCTTGCGGGGACCGTGCGCTCGACAGCGGTGGTACCTATGAAAGGTACACGATACATTTGTCCACACTTCGTTTTAAGAACGACAGTGTTGGTCGCCCAATCAGCCTCGGTGTTGTGGAACTGACAAGACCACGGAGTACCGAGACTGAAATCGTACCCCATCTCCATCACATCGAAATGTGCAGAGGAGCGGTGGCGACGAGACGCCGATGGACGATCAGTCGGCTCGAGAGTGAGGAAGAAAGGGAGGTCGACAACCATCTCATCGAAGAAGCGTTGGGTCTTATCATCCCTTAGGGTGACGGAGATGGGAGTCGGAGACCCTGTCGTGGGTAAACGGGCTTCTTTCACCACACGTAGGTGAATGAAGTCCCCCTGAGAACCGAAATCCCACAGGGTTGAGTACACCCTCATGGGGGTTCCCAGTCCTACTGGAATGATCCTAAGGGTGCGATCAGGATCAGAGAGGATGGCGAGAAGGCGACGCAGTGCAGCGGCATGGAGGTCGCTCCTGACGAGCTTGGAGCATGCTAAAGTCCAGAAGCGAGGAAACAACGTCCTCACGAGTCGCAAGTTGCTCGCTGTAACGGGCTGAGCGAGTGGCTCGACGCGTCGTAGTCGCGGAGAGGTAGGAGGGGAGACAATGGTCTACGGAGGTGCAGACGGTACTGCGACAGAGGGATGAGTACATTCTGTCGGGTCCTGCGATACCTCAACTCCAGTAGCGAGAGGGGTACATCACGACGGAGATGTGGGGAAGTCGACTACTGAGGAGGGCGTAGGTGTACACTGCACTGTGGCTAGGAGGTACTGCGGGGATGCGAGGCGTCGGGGGGAGACTGAGCACGACGCTGGCGAGAGAGCTCGGCGTAGTGGAGGTCAAGCGCGGCGGTGTAAGGGCATCGCGAGGAGGTATGACCGTCCTAATGGCAACGCAAACACACACACCGGCCTAAAATGGTCGCTCGCTTTTCAGCGGAAAGGACACAGCAAGGAGGGACAAAGCCCTGAGGGAGGTCCTGCTGAGGGACCTCGGGGGCGACGCGCCAGCGTGACCAGAGCAGTTGCGTGCCCGGGAGAGGGTGGAGAGAACGAGCTGGAGGCGCTTAGCTATAGGGAGGGTAGAGTCCACCAGGTGGTAGTGGACGGCCTCACAGAGGTCGAGGTCGTCGCTATGGTTACCCTCAGGCGACAACGGGGCAAAAGCATCCTGCTCGCCATACTCTAGCGCGCTAAAGCGGCGCGAGAAGTGAAGGCCCTACTGCATGGAACGGGGGGGGCGACCAAGGAAAGGGGAACGGTGCTGGGAAGTGTCGTGAGAGAAGGAGGGAGCGTAACCAGTACGCTAAGGCTGGGAGGAGGAAGTGTGTTGAAGACAGGCCCGCATCCGCCAATGAGCCCTGGCAGCCTCGTAAGCCTGTGGGGCTGATGTGAAGTCATACCGTCATAACTCAGAGTGGTACTCAATGGGAATGTTGGTCAAGAAACGATCAATGAGGGCAGCCTCGGGGAGGAACGCCACATCACAAATGAGGCGGGCGTCCTAAAAGACCTGGATGTGGTGATACAGGCCTGCAGCGCCACTAGAGTCGGACCAGCGTGTACTTACAACACGCTCAAAGGCGTCAGTCACGTCATATCGGGCTCAGAAGCGATCCTCGAGGAACGCCTGAAAATCCATGAAGGTCGGGGTCCGAACCTCACGAAGGGAGTGGCTGTAGAAATCCTCCCAGGCGTCAAAAGGACCGCCACGCAGGCGCGTGGAGAGGTGAGTCACCCACGTGTCGGGTGGGACGCCCATGAGCTAGAGCGTGCGGGTGGCAGACTACAGCCACCGAGACAGGCGTATCTCTGTACCGCCATACAAGGCAATATCCGTCAAGCGGACAAGTGTTGCGGCACCGTCTTTGCTGCAAGGAGATCGAGGAGCAGAGGTCTGCGCTACGACTGAGTAAGTTGGCGCAAGGCCTGAAGAAGGGGGCGCAACTGACTGTACGCCCGGACCGCATAGGGGAGCGGCTGGGGCAACAGCGGCATGCTGCGAGGGAGCTGCAGTAGAAGAGGTCGCAGCAACCGAGGGAGTAGGAAGAAGGTAGAATGGCGGTGGAGGGGGTGCAGGGCGGGGGAAGCAAGCCTGCAGAGCTGGAAGAGCAGAGGACGTTGGGGATGCGCCCGAAGGCGCGACCACCTATGATGGTAGGGGTGGTTGAAAGCGTAAGAGGGCGAGGTCGGCCCGGATCTGAGCAAGCTCAGTCTCAGGATAGCGAATATAGATCGAGTGAGGAGTAGTAGGAAGAGGAGTGGGGGAGGTAGATGCACGAGCGGCGCGGGGCATCCCATAAGGCGGGTGACGAGGCGGTCGTGCGAAGGGGAGGGAGAAGCGGGGCACCCGGAAAAGCTGAGACCACGGTCGTGGGTTGTGGTCCCGTGGCTGTAGTGACCGAAATCTGGGCGGTGCGCCTGTCGACTGAGGGAAGGCCTGGCCTGTGGTGGCCAACGCGCTAGGAGCGTGGATGGTCACCAGGATGGCCGGGTCGGGGGCAGCGGAGGAAGAAGCTCAGTTGTGGCCACCATGTCGGAGAACGGGGGATCCAAACTAATGACGAGGGGAAAAGGGAGAGTGGGAAGAGGAAGGACAGTCAGCGTCCTAGAGTTGTCACAGGCCAACGGCAAAAGTCGCCACCTGCGCTTATAAGGGCGCAAGGAGGGAGGTGAGGGGGGTGTGCAGATCCCCCTGGGGCTGATGACCCTGGTCCGCCGGCACGGGTGTGGAGTCTGGTGCCAAGGTCGTCACGGCGTCGGCGGCTTGTGACACGCCGTCGGCCATGGGGAGTTGACGGGCCGGACTTGAGGGGCAGAGGAGGTCCGCGTAAGCGAAGGGCATAGAGGGGGGTTCGTGGTAGAAAGCGACGGGCGGCGCTAGAGAGTCGAGCGCGGGCGCCCGCAAAGGGAGAAGGGTGGCTCGGGTCCAGGGTGCCTTAATGGAAAGGGGAAGTAGGGGGGTTAGAAGAACCCTAAACCCTAGAAACCCTAAGAAAACCCTAACCGGAGTTTGAGTGGTTAGGATAGGGTACCGGTGACCTAATCAAGAAAATAAAATAGCAACCATGGAGGGGAGGGGGAAGGAAAAATAAATAAACAGTAAAATGTTGAGAAAGAAATAAAATAAATAAGTAAATAAATAAATAAAAAAATAATTAAAAAATAAGTAAATTGAATGTGAAGAGAGAAATAATATTTATTTTTTTTGAATTTTCGGCAGCATTTCCCTACCCCCCATGAGGTCAAGAATGTGCCAACGGGAAGGAGAGACCAAACAAAGCACACTAAGTTTCAAAATACCGCATATTAAAAATTTCAGAAAATAAATAAAGAAATAATAAGTAAATAAACAAAAAAAGAAATGAGGAGGCGGAGAGTGAAGAGAGAAGTGTTGAACTTTTCAAAAAATTCGATAGCATTTCATTACCCCCATGGGGTTGAAGTGTGTCGTCAAGAAGAAAGGCTAAGTAAAATGAGAAAATTTCGACAGTACTTCATTACCCCCACGGAGTCAAAATGTGTGCCGAAAGCAAGAATGACCAACTCCTAATCAAATTTAAGGGTGCCGCAAAGAAATTCGAATTTTCATAATAAATAAATTTAAAATAAAATGAAATAAATCAGAAAATTAGAAAAGATGGTGGGGAATAAGATCATTCGAATTTTTTGGAAAAAAAAATATATATAAATCAAAAGAAAGATAAAAAGAAAAAAAACAGAAAAATTTCGAAGTTAGGGGGCAAGGGGGATGAAAAGTGAAGGACAAAATAGAGAGTTAGGTGAGAGAGAGAAAAAGAGTGAAGGGGGAGATGGGGGTAGAAGAGGGTGAGAGAATGGGAGAGATAGTGATGGGAAAGGTGAGGAGGGGTAGAAGTGATTAGTAGAAGATGGTGAGTGGAGAGGGGAGGAGAGAAAAAGGATTGTGGAAGATGACTGAAGAGGGAGGTAGGAGGAGGGAGTAGTGGTAGGGTTAGAAAGGATGAGTAGGGGGGGGGGGGGTGAGAGAGAAGGGGTTGGGGGAGAGTAGTGGGTAGGATGGTGATACCAAACTCTTGGGTTGCCAAGAGCGGAGCACTACCAAGATCCACAGGATTTTGGCCTTCAAGATGTTGCTGGCCTGCTGCTGCGGTAATAGAAGACAACGATGATGATGTTTCACGGTTGGTTGAGATCTTGATCAACCGCCCTACTGCCACGTTTGCACAGCCCCCTAGCCAAGGGGTAATCTAGAACTGATGCTAAACTGCTGCTGCAGCAGTGGGAAAATAGTGAAGAGTATATATATATATATATATATATATATATATATATATATGTATGTGGCGCAGCCCCCTAGCCAGGAGGGTCTTCAACCTCCATGGCAAGCTGCCACATGGCACTGCAGCTGGCCACGTGCTGTTGTCGTGCTGGCCGGTGCTCGCTGGGGGGGGGGGGGGGGGGGGGGGGGGTAAATAGTTGGCACTACACTTCAACACTAGCGTGCCGCACTACTAAACCACAGACACACTGTGGCCAGTGTGTTACAATGGTGGCTATCCACACGCATGGCTAAAAGCTGCCCAGGTTCAAACCCTGGCAGCTGCAGCATTATGGATCTTGATAATAAATAATCCGGGAGCGGGGCGGGGCGAGGTGGGGCGGGGCAGCGGGGGCACGTGGCGCATGCGTGTGCGTTGGCCTTGGCGCTTGCTCGCACACAGTGATTACCGTCTCTCTTTTCTCGCCACGTATCGCTTCTTCCCTCATGCACCTTTCATCACGGTTTTCCGCTGTTTTTCGCTCGAAACAGCCGAAAAACAACCAAAAAACCGTGTGTCGGGTTTTGCAGTTTTTCCTGCTATGTGGTATGGTGGGTGGGAGCGGGGAACGTTCCTGCTCTGATACCAGTGTGGCGGACCCACCGGGTGAGGTGCTCCGCCTGGGATAGAGATACGAGCATCTCGAGGACAGTGTTCCCTCCCCTTATCGCCTCCGCCACATCACCGATCTTTGCCGCCATCGTAGTCCCGACATCCGAGGTTGCCTTGGCCAATGTAGAAGCGGCCTTGTCAAGACCATCGCCGTAGGATCGTGTCGACTCCTCCATTGCCCTCGCCAAAGTCGATCTACCGGTCCCTACGTCGTCCATCCTAGTTTTCCCTGACGGCGTTCTTCGCATCTTCGCTTCGCCTTCTGAGCCGTTCGTTCCTCTTGCCTCAGACCCGCTTTTTTCGGATCCACTTCTCCCCGAAGGCAGCGTTCCTTCTCCCGCTCCCGGCAGGTCCTCAGAGCCCAATGGCTGGTCGCACGTCATGGATAGTTTGTTCAGTTTCCATTGCATGGCATCCCACAACAATTTCTCGAAGGCGAAAGGCACCTGCAGGTCCTTCCGCTTCTCCAAGTCTGTGTCCCAGTACGACGGCAGGCCCGACGCATTCTCGCACTTGTCAAGGATGAGCTTCGCCTTCGACAACATGGACGACCACTTCTTACGGCAATCCTCCACAATTCTCTGAGGATAACCCTCGGATGTCATGTGATCGGTCACCCACACATACCGCTCCTTCCTTTTCATGAACCGATGTTGTCCATTGGCGTCAGCCACGAGCGCGTCGTCCTCCCCCATCATCTTTGCCAGCTATATCCTCTCCTCCAACGTCCACGCCAGGTTTTGTTTTTTGTTTTTCGGTGGCCCGTCCTTCCGACTTTTTTTCTACCCACGTCTACCATTGTTTCTCCCGTTGGAATCACTAGCTTTGTCCGTTTCTGGAACACCACCTCCATCGCCACTATCATCGTCAACATCATCTCCATCTCCATTACCGGTGCCATCCTCCATATCCTCGCACGCTTGACCATCATAGTCGTTTGCGGCATCGCTGTCGAACCCTGACGGGACAGAAGTCCCACAATGCGGCGTCCATGCATTGTCCATGTCGCGTCTGTCGGCGTCCATCGTGGAAGGTGATCGCCTGGTGGACAGAGTGGTGGTGCTGGAGTTCATCTCGTGTGACGGTTGGGAACTCTGCCCAGATTGCGGGGACCAAGGGTGATCATTCCGCATTGCGCTCCCCCTCTCAAATGTTTGTTGCATGGGGAACGCGTGAGCAGCGAAGCCGAACCCACTTCCCACCGGCAACGTATGTGCACTGCCCAGGTCATACCGGCCACCGACTTGGGTGGCGTACAGTGTGTGTCCCATGTGACCACCTCCAACAGGCATAGTGGCCGCAGGTGGCCGGACATGGGACAGGGTACGTTGCATCGTTGCGTCTGCATGAGACTACGAAGAGGGGAGGGGGGCTGCCGGGACACGAATCGGTGCACCTCGCCCCCCATCGTGCAACTGTCCGGTGAATGACTGTAGCCTCGGCGATGACGGACATGAGTAGTGACTGCTTGCCAGCGGACGTCTATCCCACGTCGGGAACCCCCCCTCAATGCCTCCCTGGTTCTCCGCCCTCCACCGACTCGGATCCATTTCCCCCTCAATGCCTCCATGCTTCTCCGCGCTCCACCGACTCGGATCCATTCCCCCCTCAATGCCTCCCTGGTTCTCCGCCCTCCACCGACTCAGATCCATCCCTCCCCCTCCCCCCCCTTTGCAAAGGCCACGAACGTCGACGCTGACCACCGCAAGTAGATCGCCTACGTGCACCACTACAGTCCCAGTACCGGCCAGAAAAAGACGAAGAAGAGAATGACGCAGAACACGAAAATAGACAACAACAAGGCGGTGAAGACGACGACGATGACAACAAAACAGCAGCCTATTGTAGCCCACAATTGCTGCGGTCGTCCACCAACAGTGCTTGCTTCATGGATGACGACAACCGAAGGGGGGCAGCAACAATGATGGCACAACGGACAGGCACGACAGCGACAGGAAGAAGGAGCAACGGCCGCGTGGACAATATGCGGATGTGGAGATTGGAGTACGCAATCGCGTGCAGCCAAGTCCAGGGGACTTCGGCGAAGATCGGTATCATACGTTCGGCCACGAGGAATCCGATGAGGATGATGAAAAGCTGATGAAGACAATGGCGGTATACGTGAACGACAACTGCCGCCGCAGCCCATGTGGGCTGAAACAGCAGTCGATGCAGTATGTTCACAGCACAATTGATTGGCGAAACGGCTTCCCCCCAACGGCTCCCTGCCCGGACAACCGTCGCTGCGCCGGCCGCCCCTTTTGTATATGCAACCATTGTCCGTACCCTGGCCGATGACACTGCCAAAAACCATCTCGCCGGACACAGACCCCGCGCCCAGTGCCTATAATGCTCCTCAGCGATGGCATTGCACTCCAAACGCACCTTCGCATCCCAGTACTCGGCATGAGGACAACGCTTTGGGCTGACGGGATCTGCACGTACGCTCATATGCTGCCCCAGCCTGCCCGTGCTTGGCTGGATCACCCCTGCATGGCTGGCCGTCATCCCCGGCCCGCCCGTTTTTTTAATTTGAAATCCGTTGCCATTTCGGAAATCAGGGCCCGCGCAGGCCAGCCACACAACGGCCCACATCGGAACCGTGCGACACGGCAGTGCATGTCCGAGGGGGCTTGCCAGCCCATGAAACGGTCCGCCACGACGTCAGCTGGACCATGCCCGCTCGGCATCTTCTTTCCACAGGAGAACATGCGCCCCCCCACTAGTCGGTTGGAAGGCCTTTCTGGAAAGGTCGTGGAAGGCCGCACGGTTCGGTTCCCAGGACGCCAACCCTGTAGAAACACTTCTGAAACCTTTCCCGCAACGTCCTTCCACGGTCTGTGGGTCTGAAAAGCCTTCCAATTCTGGGTTTCCATCCTCTTTTCCAGATCAGTGGAGTCGCGAACACACCGGCCTGGAAAGAAATTTCCAGGAAGCCGAGCAGTAGGGTCCAACTCTTAGGGTGGACGCCTTTTTTTGCACCATAGTTTCGGGAACGGCTAAAGTTGCCTACTCTGAACGTTGGGTGTGACTCCAACGCTCTTGTCCCAAAAAAGAAAGAAGAAGAAAAGGAAGAAGAAGGATCTCTACTGTGGTCTAAGCTCAGACCTTCTCAGTGATGATACTTGACAGAGACAGCGTACCCCAGTTTTGTTTTTCCTTTGCAGTATCACCTTCAGTTACAGTGAGGGTAAACAACAAGAGGGAACACCCACCCCATGTGGGTGAACCCTAACACACCAGGGATAGGGGGTTTAGGGGAGAAAAAAGGAAAGCTATGCTCGTAGGGGTCCTTTGTATAGCCTTAGGAGCAGTGGTAGGTACGTAGTGACAGGTGAATGTGATAGAAGAACACAGTTAAGTTATTGAAAAAAAAACAAAAATTGGGAAAGAGGAGGCGGAGGGAGGGGAAAGAAGCTTTGTGCAAGTCATCCAAGGGAAGGTGGCATTGGCATGCTATTCTTCTACCTAGGGTGAGGACTCTGCCAAAATGTTTCTTGCCACTCAAATAGGCTCTTTGCACAGGCATTTCGGACAGAATGCATCCAGACCTCCTTACTCTTACGGTGCAGACAATCCACCCGGGGCGAGATCCCACTCACCCGGACTCCTCGTTTCTGGTTGTTTATACTTTGCACATCGACTGCGGAACAGGAGGAGCCCCGGTACAACTGCTGTTCCCCTCCCCCCATCCCCCCCCTCCAAATGTAAACCCTAATTGTGAATGTGTAAAAGCCGCATATCAGGTCCGATACAGTCGTATTGCGGGTGTGTTGTGTTTGGGGGGGAAGAGAGGAGATGAGGGTAGCATCACTTCAAGCAGTAAGAGTGCACACCGTCCGGCCCTTTCTTCTTTTCTTTTCTTCTTTTCTTTTAGAAAAGAATATAGGTGGTGGGGAGAGGAGTCTCCACAGTTTGTACCATCTTCACCCGGTCATGATAGCTGTATCTGACGTAATCTCTAGTCCAGATACCGGGCATTCTATTTGGGTGAACATGGGGCTCGAAGGGCTGTTGTAGGTCTGTCTCTTATACACATCTAGATGTGTATAAGAGACAGGTCGTATTGCGGGTGTGTTGTGTTTGGGGGGGAAGAGAGGAGATGAGGGTAGCATCACTTCAAGCAGTAAGAGTGCACACCGTCCGGCCCTTTCTTCTTTTCTTTTCTTCTTTTCTTTTAGAAAAGAATATAGGTGGTGGGGAGAGGAGTCTCCACAGTTTGTACCATCTTCACCCGGTCATGATAGCTGTATCTGACGTAATCTCTAGTCCAGATACCGGGCATTCTATTTGGGTGAACATGGGGCTCGAAGGGCTGTTGTAGGTTAGACCTCGCCTTGTCTTGAGCCATTAGACACTGCCTGGGGCATCTATTCTGAGCACACACCCGAACACACAGATTACATTGATTGGGATGGGGGGATGGGGTGGGGTCTGGGGAGGCGGGGGGCATCACGACTTATTCACAAGGCTTGTAGGATAATAATATCACAGGGAAACTACACGGGAGTCACAAAAATGAGTTATAATTGCACTACGGGCCAACATACAGTTTCGAATTGCAGTTCGGGCAATGTATAGAACCCAGCTTTCTGGCCAGGTATGGTGCCCGAAGTGCAATTGCAAATTGTATCTTGCCCCATAGTGCAATTCTAACTCGTTTTTGTGACTCTACTGCCGTCTTTATTCGAATAGAAGGCCTGGTCCTTATTTCTGCATCCAAACTTCAAGTTACAGCCATAATTACAGGGCGTTCTACTCTGGTGAAGACTATACCTCCTGGAGCCATCAGGGTAGCCAATGGCATGGTCCACTCATCATAGAGCTCAATTGGGACCATGCGCTACTATGCTCGTATAGTGCCAGTGCCCATTACAATACAAGCCGATGATTAAACCACCAGTACCTGGCCCAGATATCGGCCGCGGCGCTTCCCGCATACGCGCCGCGCCATTTGGGCTTCGGCCTGCCGGACCGCATTGGCTGGAGGCCGCAGGCAAAACGAAAAAGAAAATTGCGACGGCGGTTCGGCAGGACTTGGCGCGCAGCGTGCTGGGAGGCTCAGATTCAATAGCTGAGCGAGGTACTGGTGGTTTAAAACGCCAGTTCACCCAAAGCAGAAAAGGGCGCTTACCAGTAAAGTACGGTAAGACCATTTCGATTTGGGCTGGAGCCATCACGGTAGCCAGGGCCCACTCATCATACAGCTCAATTGGGACCGTGCGGTACTAAGCTCCTATAGTGCCAGTGCCCATTTCAATTATAGGAACCGATGACTAAAACACCAGTTCACCCAAAGCAGAAAAGGGCTCTAAGACTTACCAGTATACAGTACTAAGACCATTTCGATTCGGGCCTGGTGCCCCCCGGTGGCTCCCTCCGATACCCTGCCAGGCTAGGGGTGAGGGCTGGACTAGGGTGAAGGCTACCATGGGACGCTGGACCCGGTTTCCAGCACGATGATCTGTTTCGAAGGTTTCATGTTTAAGGTTTCAAAAGATGTATTTATGGGACGCTGGACCCGCTTTCCAGCAGGTGACGCTCCCCACCAATAGATGGAGCATTGGTTTAAAAAAAAAAAAAAAAAAAAAAAAAAAAAAAGATTCAGGCCTGGGCCAGTTGTGAATATGGCAGGCAATTTTGAGAAGCTGCAGTCTGAGGCTCTCTAGCCTTGGAAGGTAACTTTATCAACTCAGGCTCGCGTGAAGTGGTCGGTGTAATAAAGTGGTGGCCTCTCACGAAGGAGGGCTGCAGGAAGTGCAGGTGGGCCCAGGGAGTATTGAGTTGAGGGTCGGTGTAGTTATCTCATGATAACGGCAAGGCCGGAAAAAAAAAAAAAAAAGAAGGAAAAAAAATATGGGGAGGTCGGAAGCCACTTCATCTTTGTCGTGTGAGAGGACACAAGTCTAGATACATTCTGACAGAAATAGCAGTGTAGAGAGAAGGTATACATTGTTAGATTCAAAAAAAAAAAAAAAAAAAAAAAAAAGAGAGTTCTCAGCATGTACTCCCACGAAGGAAACTGACCAGGTCCTTCATTTTGTCAGAGCTATCCAAAGGTGCTCCCAGGGCCGAAACGGACCTTCCCAAATTTCCTTTGTTTGCAAAATTCCAAGGATGGGTGATGCAACGCCCTTCCCAGCAGTCTTAGGGACTCACGTGTCGCCCTATGGGACCTCGAGGAGTTCGTGTGCCGGACCCGCCGGGATGGCGGTCCGTTAGGATGGAGACGAAGGAGGAGGTAGAGATGGAGCTGGAGGGGACAGCGCAGCTCCGACGCAGACTCCACACGCGAGTACTCCAAGATCTGCGAAAGTGAAGAA